AAATAAATAGACCAGTACTGGTGTAGCCACATGTGGCTTGTGGCTACCATATTAGGCAGTACTGGTCTAAAAAGACCTTAACTAGAATTTGTCCTTGGGCTCAAGTATCTTGTATAGTTAGCATAAAGTAATTGCAGTGAAAAGTTAACACAATTTGTTTTTCCTTAAATACTAAGTACCATGTTTCAAGTCTTAGATGCTTGTTTTTTATATTTAACATACCTGGAAATGTTATTTTGTAATGTTTTCCTTTCTCACAGAGTGGTACATAAAATAGTAGGCTGTAAGGAACGGTCATAAGAAATGAGTATTATCAGTGGTGAATCCTTCATGGAGGGATAGTCAAATTCTGTGAACTACTAAAATTAGTCCTCAACTTTATTCTTGATTTTAAAATACCACGATATCTGGGAGGCTGAGGCAGGAGGATCCCTTGAGCTCAGGAGTTCAAGATCAGCCTGAGCATGAGAGAGGCCTGTCTGTACTAAAATAGAAAAATTAGCTGAGCATTATGGTGGATGCCCATAATCCCAACAACTTGGAAGCTGAGTCAGGAGAATCACATGAACCAGGAGTTTGAGGTTGCTGTGAGCTAAGCTGACACCACGGCATTCTAGCCTGTGCAGCAGAGTAAGACTTCATCTCAAACAAATAAATAAATATAAAATACCCATGAATGTAATTACTTAGTGAAATCTTCCTTACTTATAAATTCTCCTTTTCCTCCTTTCTTTCATTTCTCTCTGTCTTAAATTTTGAAAGATGGAGGTTTCAGTGTAATACACATACCATGGAGCCCAGTTGAGCAGTTGAAACTGAGGTATCTATATTAGAGGGCAATGTAAGGGGATAAGATGAGCCCCTGTGGTTTACTGATAAACTGTGGTCTAGCATAAAGGTCTGCTCATCAGTTTTAATGTTGTCTTTATAGAGACATTGTCTAAGCAAATGTCTTAAAAATGAAGTTATCCAAAAAATAAAACAGAAGTTATCCGAAAAATAAAAAAGAAGTATGAAGTTATCCTGTTAAGTGTTATGGGTAGTGGGTCCTGACAATAATTAACAAACATACTAATTTTCTAGGACGTGGTATTTATTCCAACATGCTGGGATTTCTTGGTGGTGTCTCCTGGGCAATGCTGGTTGCAAGAACTTGCCAATTATATCCAAATGCAGCAGCCTCTACTTTAGTTCATAAGTTCTTTTTAGTTTTTTCTAAGTGGTAAGTATTAATACATGTACTTGACTACTAACTTTTGCCTGCATGTAAATTTGTTTGAAAACTTAAGAGCAATCCATAGACTTTTTCTGTTTTATATTCCTTTTTTAAATTAAAAGTTTAAAACATATTAAATTTGAGGCAATAGAGTATATCCAGATGGCACATTCTTCCAGGGATCTGTAAATGTGGGCCTTTTAACTTGGAAAACTGGTTTCAATAGATTGAGCTCTGCAGATTACTAGCTATTACCAGGTTGTTTAAACTCTCCTTATCTGTAAAATAAAGATGATAATCATAGCTAACATATTGATTCATTAGTCTTTTCAGTAAATGTTAGCTATTACTGTTAGTAAATTATCAGAATTAAGCTATAACCTAATAACCTAAGGATATGGGGGGGAGGGGGAGAGGGGGGAGGGAGAGGGATTCGAGGGTTCACTTCAGGGTTCACTTCTGTGGTTCATCTTGCAAGGGTACAAGTGAATCTTTCTATGAGTAGAATATGAATGTTTTGACATAATGACTAAGAAAGTTACATGAAGGCTATGTTAACCAGTTTGATGGAAGTGTCTTGGATTGTGTATGAAAACACCACACTGTACCCCCAAAGTGCATCAATGTACACAGTTACCATTCAATAAAAAAAAAAAATTATCAGAATTAAACCCATGAAAGCAAATGAGAAAGAAGGATAAGATTCAGGTGTGAATTAGTTACAGCTAATGGGGTGTTCCCTTTCAGAGAACACTGCATTAAAATAAGCAGGCTTTCTACTGTATACTTTTTCTTCCCTCACCATTACCTTCCTTCCCTCATTTCCTTTTCTTTTTTAATACTGAATACACTTTTTTTCCTATTGGACATTTTCTATATGAAGGTTGGAATAATCTAATGAATTAAAAGTTTCATGTAGTACCTGAAGTGAGATCCTATGTAATTAGTCTTATTCATGTCAGGGAATGGCCAAATCCTGTGCTGCTGAAGCAACCAGAAGAAAGCAATTTGAATTTGCCTGTCTGGGATCCTCGGGTATGTGATTTATTATGGAATTTCCTTGAACCTTTAGAAAAGGGACATTTCTCTAAATTACGGTCTAGTTAAAGATAATGCTTCTTGTCCCTGCTCATGTTTGTTCTATATAACTATAGTCCTTTTCTTCCCTTTGCTGGGTTTTTTGGTGCAGGTGATTTGGATCACTAATGCTGATCCAAATGTTGTATTATTAAAAATTGCCTATATAAGACAAATTGGGTGTATCAACCACAATGCTATAGTGTTGTCTTTATAGAGGGAAAGTTCTAAACAAATGTCTTAAGAATGAAGCTACCCTGTTGAGTGAAAAACTATCTCACAAGTTTAGTTACTAATAGTAGTTAAAATACTGAAGTATATAAAAGATTTACTTTGCAGTACAGTTTTAAAAAGCAGATTCATGGTTCCAAGAAAGTGTAATTGTCACATACCATGCATTTAATTTGCTTTTAGATTGTGTGCTGATTCCTCTGGGTAACCAAGGGGAAGTCATTGAGTGAGTACAGAAAAAGGATTGAGAACCATTACCAATGGGCTAGATAATCCTTTTTGAAGTTATGATACTATATGCTTAATTCTAAAAGATCATTGTTTATAAGATACATCATCATTTTAACAACTTTTCTGAGGAAAAATAAACTTCTGCAAAGTTTCCCTTAACTTCGACTATCAGACATATCTGAGTTCAGAAATATAGTTGGGGAGGAGAAATGTATTATCTTAGAATTGAGAAAATGTATTAAATTTATATTTCATATTCTTTAGGCTTTTGGGGGAAATGAAGCGAGGGCAACTGAAATAGGAGAATAGATCAGTTATTCTGCTTCTAATTTCACAGGTAAATCCATCAGATAGGTATCATCTCATGCCCATAATCACCCCTGCCTACCCACAACAGAATTCTACGTATAATGTGTCCACATCAACTCGAACAGTAATGGTAGAAGAATTTAAACAAGGTAAACATGTTGGCCCCATTGCCCTTTACAGATTCCTTCAAGGTTTTAATTGATGACAGTTTTATTCTTTGTTGCCGCTATAGGTTGGCAGTTAGAGTTACATAATACCTGCCAGGCATGGCAGCTCATGCCTATAGTCCTAGTGATTTGGGAGGCTATGGTGGGAGGATTGCTTGAGGCTAAGAATTCAAAAACATTAGAGGCAACATAGTAAGACCTTATCTCTAAAAAATGAAAACAGTTAGCTGAGTGTGGTGGTATACGTCTACAGTCTCAGCTACTTGAGCGACTTAAATGGGAGGATTGCCTTAGCCCCAGGAGTTTGAGCTATGATTACAGCCACAGTACTTTAGTCTGGGCAACAGAGCAAGACACTGTCTCTTAAAAAAGAAAAAAAAATCTTTCAAGTTGTTCTGTTATTGTTTTACTAATTTATTCTTAAAAGCATACATGCTAATATTAGGACCAAAAGTAGAGCCAGTCAAACTTTCTTTTTTTTTTTTTTTGCAGTTTTTGGCAGGGGCTGGGTTTGAACCTGCCACCTCCAGCATATGGAGCTGGCACCCTACTCATTGAGCCACAGGTGCCACCCCCAGTCAAATTTAATTTTTTGTATTCTGAGAAATAGTATAATGTATTTACATTTGTTACTTAAGAATTTGATGAGGTTTGAGATTGGGGGGTAGAGTGATTTAAGAGCTGGTCAATTTTCAAAATAAATCTTTTTTATTATTATTATTTAGGTCTGGCAGTCACAGATGAAATTCTTCAAGGGAAATCAGATTGGTCTAAACTACTTGAACCACCAAATTTCTTTCAAAAGTATAGGTATTTGAAATTTTGTATTCTATGTGGTTTTCTTTTAAGAAGAATATTAAGAGTTGATATATATGAGAGGTACAACTGTCAGTAGATTAACATAAATCCTAAGTGATGTGAAAGTTTCTTTATTCTGGAAGTATTTAATCCAGTATTAGTAATTTTTAAAGTGAATTGTTTTTTAATTGTGGGATCTAACATTAATTTTATGAAAATCGGCATGTTTTAATTTTTATAAACTATGTACCTGCATTAGTTTTTTTATTCCTTGGGCGGGAGGAACAAAAAGGATGATGGAAAAACAGACCCTAACAATTTTTCTGGCTTCTTTTCCCCTGATTGTTGCTGAAAATTTTCCGTAGACATTATATAGTATTGACTGCTAGTGCATCAACAGAAGAACACCAGCTGGAGTGGTAAGACATCTATTTCAAGTTCTCTGTCTACTATATGGTGATAGTAACATATTTATGTGGAACTTTACCATTTATAAACTTCTTGCTTGATTTCTAAAATTATTATATCTTATTGGTGACTGTTGTACATGACCATGGAGCATCAGTGTTCACAAGCAGGAGTGCCATGAGATAAAAGTATAATACAAACTTTGCTTTTTGTTGCTTGTCAGATTTAAGCAAAATTTTGAGGTAGATGGATGGTTCTGATACCAGCCCTTTACTGTTTTCCATTTTTGCCATCACATTTTCCTCCATCAAAATTCAAAAGACAGGGCTCAGTGCCTATAGCTCAACTGGCTAAGGCGCCAGCCACGTACACCTAAGGTGGCGGGTTCGAATCCCCAGCCCGGACCCGCCAAACAACAATGATGGCTGCACCC